GCTGCCAGGGTGGACCGAGGGGAACGGAAGTTTCCGCCCTCTCAACGAGCGGCCGGCGTGCGCCACCGCCTCGTAATAATACTTTGTCCGTGTAGAAATCGATTTCCGCCCCGGCTTTACATGGCAAAGCGACCAACGCCGAGTTTATTTCGTGCCTCGGCGATCGCTTCGCGAGTCGGAGGATTCGCAATATGTTACGTTTTTCCCCCTGCCTGCCGATATATAGCCGGCTCCCGGTGAGCGGTTGGAAACAGTTATGCTTAATTAATTGGTTTCTGATTAAAAAGGAAAAAAAAAAAAAAGAAGAAAGAAAAGTATGACCAGGTTTTTTTTGGCATTCTTGTGGAAATAGATACGATTGAATGTCACTCGATCGGAAGTGGAAAATACTTTTAAATTTTTTTCTCCCCAGTTCTATGAAGTTTCCGTGGATTAAAGTTCGTATAAACGTACTCGTGATTGTCGGGGAACTTGGAGATTAATTTGTGGTAATTCTTTTTTTCCTTTTTTTTTTCTGAGATATAGAGACAATGACAGTGACATTCATTGGAAGAGAAAGAGAGGAATTAATTGAGTTTGAATTGGTTTTCATTGATTTACTCGGATTATTGGAAAGTGAAGCTATCCTTTTATCGCAGCAACCCCTTCAATTAGTAAATATATTCTTGCAGGATGTTGGTGCACGTTTAGTTCTTTTCTGACTGAAACATTATTTTGTCATTATTTTTCAGCATCAATTCCTTCGCAATAATTGTTATTAGAATGGTCTTTCGAAAAGCTCGACCGATTGAAATGCTCAAGAAGTCGTTAATAAAATGAAACAAAAAAAAAAAAAGCAAAAAAGAGAAAAGGGATGGAGAATAGTAGAAAAACTGCAACGATATACTAGTGAACGTGATAGCAGTTAGTATTGGCTGAAAATCGTTCGTGATTGGAATCATGGCCAATTCTATCAAAGCACTCCTGCAACGCTGCACCATTCGTGTTTCCACTAAAAACAAGCATCGTTACAAAAACGCAACGCAAGGAATATCAATGCACCGAAATCACTTCGCCAGGACGAAGTGATCCAGGGCTCAGGATCGTTTTTAAATATTAGTTTCCGATCGACCAAGCGGAATGAATCGCGAATTGATCAAACCTTTATTTATGAAATCCCTTACGCCTTTTATCAATCGGAGAAACTCGTTGAGTTTATTTTGCAAAATAACGTGATATATTATTGGACACTCCGAGTCATAACTATTCAGATAATTGAAGTAAGATTTTACTAACATTAAAAATGATAAAATTTTAGAAATGTTATATTGCTAAAATTTTAGTAATTTTAGTAACATATTTAATAAATTATCGCTATATTATATATATTATATTAATATATTATATATATTATATTATTGCTATATTATATATATTATAGGTATATTTACTGTCCAACGATAATACTTCAGAGTTGACACAAAATTCAACTTTACAACCAGTAGAACTTTACGATGATTATTTTCGATGAGTATTTGAATCGTAATATCTACGTAGATTATTTTGTTTCTGCTTCGTAGCATTTGGTGCAGAATAAACTATTTTGATGTGCATAGTTTGATATTTTGTATCGAATGTTATTGATTAGAAGAAGTTTTGACTGAATTTGTTGGTCCTCTCTTCAGTATTATTCTGTTTATAACAGTTCGATTGATCTGCGATGCATCTATTTATGTACACTCTATAGCTATTTTATTGAAATCGTATTGTTTACATAGGATTATTTTATTTTTGTTTCGTGATATTTGGCGTATGAGTATTGGTACTTAGAGTTGATGCATACAGTTGGATAACACTTTCTCCCACTAGCGTCTTGCTTTCTTTTCGCACGTCGCAAAGGGGCAGGAAGACTCCCCCCCCCGTTGAGGAATTCGATTAGGCGTCGTTCATTGTGTAAAGGTTACTACTGCAACGAAAGCATCGCCAGCTCGTTTCAGCGAAATTCTTCTTCCCCCCCCCCCCCTTTCACTCTACTTTCTCTCTTTCTCTCCTCTCTCGTCGGTTTCAGAAGGAACGAACCCCTCTGGTAACCTATAACGAGGAAGAAAGCTTTCTTTATCTGGGTTGCAAAATCGAATTGTCGTCCCTTCGTCTCGCGGGCTCCTCCTCGCAGATTCTCGCACCTCCGTTTTCTCCGCGAGTTCTCGTGAAAACATTTCATCCGAGAACGTTCGACCCTCTCTCTCTCTCTCTTTCTCTCTATTTCTCTCTCCCTTACGTCCGTGCTGCTATTCAACTACCCGCAGAAGTTAAGGACTCGTTGATGAAGCGAATCGGATATTCCTTAGAGAAAATAATCCGCCAGGAGTTCAAAGAGGGGGGGAAACTCTCGCTGAAAACTCTCGGTTGATATTGTTAATTCATGATATGAGAAAATCCATTCGAGCCTTGCCAAACTTCCTGTATTGAATTTGCATCGCGTTCCTGTCAATTGTCGGCGAAAGTTGGAGCAGGATAATTGCTGGTGCGAGATGGGCCTCAGACCCGCGAGGATCGTTCGAAACTAGCGTTTCACGAAACACTCTTCGCGTTTTCACGAAGAATCTTTGCGCACTTTTCTCGAACGTGTATTTTCCCCCCGCTCAAAAAACCGAAATTCTCTTTTTTCTATCTCTCACCTTCGCGGGCGAGTAGTTCCGCTCTTTGCACGACGATAGAGGAAGCGCGAAATAGAAAATCCATCGACTTGTCCAGCCTCCTTTAGCTGTCCAACTTTACCCTCGTTTATTTTTCTCGCCGCTTCAAGCATCCTCGTTCTGATAAACGATATCTTCCCCGACCGTAAAGAGCAGGCTCTATCTGATACTATCTAATACTATAGTTGACGCGTGAAAAAAAGACAGACACTGAGAGAGAGAGAGAGAGAGAGAGAGAGAGAGAGAGTGAGAGAATAAGAGAGAAGCTGAGGGCTGACTCAACTGACTAGAATAGCGAGAAGAGAAGGGTCGAGGTAACTTAAACAGCGGGTAACAAGAAGTAGCAAGTAATAATTGAGTCAGGCAAGTATGCCACGGACCATGCCAGAGAGCTGGAGAACACCGATGTGGATGTACCTGACCGGAATTCGGAAATAGAGGGCAAAGCAAGGGTGAAGCAGGAGCGGGTAATTCCGGCGACTTCGACGATGGAAGATGGTTTCTGTTCTCGCTCGTCGATCGGATAGAATTTAGGTGTTTCTTGGAATATTAATGCAAACCTCACGCGCAATCGGACCAACTGCGATTCGATTGTGTCGGATGGAATTAAGATGTTACACATGTATCGTTTCAATCTCTTCTCGCTATCGTTACGAAAGAGATTGGAAACGAGAGACGTTGCTACGTTGTTAGGGTATAATTAAAAAATTATGCTGTACAATTTTACAGAACTTTTTATTCTCCATTTCGGAGTTTATCGATATAAAAATATTGTAATACAGGCTGCAATACTATGCTATACTAATTATAATACTAGATGTAACATCACTGCACTGTACTGACTCTTTTTGCCGCGCTTATATATATATATATATATTATATCCTTTCCGATTTGTACTTTGGGTCTTGGCTAAAATACCTTAGTATGACAAATTACATAACAACGTTATTCGCTATAAATGAAATATTTCGCGTGTCTTTTCATTAACTCTTTGTAAATGAAACAGAACATGTAACATAGTATTGAAAGATAATTTTAATTTTAATTTTTTAAAGATGCACGTATATATATTTTATTACTTTGATATTAAGAAATGTAGAAATCTCGAAGTCACTTTATTGTTATCTCTTGTTAGAAAGTTAATTTGAAAATCGATTAGAAGTTTGTTAGAAAGTTGATATGCGACATATCACGTTCAAGCGAAGTTTCATTCGCGAGATATTTCATTCGCGAATATACGAAGGAACTAACGTTGCTATAACTAACGGTAAGACTTTTATACTGTTGAATTATATGCTGTGAATTTAAACTGTTATACTTTCAGAAATAAGAGTTTTTTTTACATGAAATTTAATTGTCGACAGTTCGAAAAGTTTCATGGTACTAAGTTTCATTAGCAGTTAATCACAAACTAGACGATTATGAAATTAATTGGTTTCAAGATAGCTCACATATCTAATTAAACTAACGACGAGATATAGCGTTCAGCGACTGACCATCGATACCTAAGTTGAATTGTAAATAAATAAAAAAAAGTGTCACGCAAGTAATATTTATACGGAAGGTAGATTAAAGCAGTCGATTAAAGATATAATCGAAGAGATGCAACAACGTTAGAGAACAATACTGCGGTTTTTCCGACCCACACTTTCATCGTGCACTGGATGATACTTCTCCTGCGGAAGGGGAACTAGACAAAGCCCATGAAATTCGATTAAGACACGACGATTTTCGAGGTGTGTTTAAATATCTTCTTCGCATCCACTTGAGTAACGTTGGCCTATCTGGTCCGTTTATTTTCAAGGATATGGATCTGGGCACGTGTTCTCTCGATAGAGCTATAAATTATCAGCTGATCCAAACGTAACCCTGCACGCGACTCATAATTTCAAGTGCAGGGTATCGTGAAATGTTTTTATAATTTTCGACGGAGGATTGGCAAAAGATTAATTTCCAATCAATTAATTAATTTTAATTTTTCTTCAGTTCAATATTCATTCTGAATATTAAATACGTTTGTCTGTTGTCAAATCTGGAAAGAGAAATGTGAGATTAAAAATATTATTAAGCAGCAGATAAATTAGATAATAAATGAATCGTATGGTGTTGTTTCTCTCAAAATTCCGACTTACATAGATACCTTACGATTCCGAACTTAATAGCACTGCACATGATAATAAAATAATAGTATTTGTTTTCGTTTACTATTATGAATAAAAGAAAGAAAAAAATAATCATCCAATCTTTTTTTTCGTCGATTAATAACAACGAATTCAAATCTCGCGTCTTGTCGTTTCAAATCAACTCTGTCAACTCATTCCCAGAAAAATTCTCCCGAAATATACCAGACACTCGAATCTTTCTATTCCGATCGAAAAAGAAAAAGAAAACGATTAGGACGACGTTTAATTACACGGAGTCAAAGGTTAAGGGGACCAGAGGACACAGAAGGGTTACGCCATTGGCCGAGAGCGTTTCCGAAGTTGCCCGTTTGGCGGCGATGTGCGCGAACCGATTCGGGATCGTGGCTTAACGATTCCTCGTTAGCGATCGATGCGAATCAGGCTGCGAGACGACGTCCACGTGTGGAAAGTGGCTCGGTTTCGGAGGTGACACGCTGAGAAATGTCCCAGAATAACCTTCTGCAAGGATACAATTGTGAGTAGCACGTTGAGAAAACGAATATCGACGATAGTTCCTCCTCGTTCGTTCACCCTTATTTCCTTTCGCCTGTTTCGCCTCTTCCTCCTCTTCTTCGTCTCCTCGGACGCAAAGCGATCGCGTCGGCCAACTTTTTAAATAAACGATGAATTGACTCGTCGCCGATCCGTCGTTTGTCGGCCCGTGAAAAATGAGCTGTGATAATGGCGGCTTTCGTTTATTTGCCAGCAGCCGGAAAAAAAAAGGCGAGGACCGACGATGTCCGGGACTTCTGCCGATCGCGATGCAAACCTTCCGGGTGCCATCCGCTTTTTTTGACAGTCTTCTCTCTTCGCCGGGATGCCTCGAACCTCTAATGGCAATGGCTTTCTCTCTCTCTCTCTTTCTTTCTCTTTCTCTTGTCGCGTTCGCGATTCGGTAATTTTTTTTTAATGGTGGCGGAGGAAAGTCGGACGACGCGATTTTGCGCGACTTCTTTTTTTCTGCCGAACGTTGGTGAAGATCGTCGGGAAGATATCGTCGGTGGCAGTGGGATGGAGATCGTTGACAGGAGGATTCGTCGTTCAAACACTTCGATTGAATATGTACGTATAATAGCGTCGTGTCGCGAAATGGTGGATGCAGATTGCAGGATTTCGTCGAATTAATTTCTTAATGGTGTCTCTGAAAGACACTTTTGCCAACGATTGATCGTTCCGTTTCCTTTTGTGTGAATAAAATGTTTGAATGCGTAGCCGTCAAGGGAAGTCTTCGTATTATCTTGCTAGCTGGGAAGAAAATTTTTTATTAAAATAAAAGTCAGCAAAGTCTAATTGCGTTCTATGTCAAGACTATCTAGCTATTTTCTTATCATTTGTTATATTGAAAAATAAGTAGTACGAAGTACAACGTTGCGTTTAAATAAAAATATTGTTTTTCTAAGAGGTACGAAAATTTTCATGTTCAGTTGTCTGTTAGTGTGGTTCCTCGAGGATTGAATAAATTTTTAAAATGCGTTAAATTTTGTTAAGTAATGTTTATTAATTAAGATAAAAGTATACAAAGTCAGTGTGTTCTGTGTCAAGAATGTTTAATTATTTTTTTATTAATTATTGTATGGTATGTTGAAAAGTAAATACGCGAGGTATGACGTTGCGCGTGCTTCATTCAAATAAAAATGATATTTTTCTAAGGTGTACGAAAACTTTTATATTCAGCTGTCTGTTAGTGCGGTCTCACGAGGACTGAATTAATTTTTAAAATGCGTTTAAAATTTTGTTAAGTGTGTTTAACTTGAAGCGTTTGTACTTGCGAAAGTTGAAAACTCCGGTATTCCATTTAGGCGAAATACGTTGAGCCATCTCGCTTTTGAAATTGAAATTCGTCCGTGGTTTATTAATAATTCCACGCCTTTTTCCAAGAAGCATAAATTCGATAACTAAATGAGTCGGTTTATAACGAGTGATGCGTTCTCGGGTATTCTTGCGGTTATACGCGATATTGTCTCGAACTCGTGAATAAAACGCTCGACGAAAGTGTTACATTGTTTCAAGAGACACCTGTATCGTCAGTTCCATTTAAATCAGTGTCACTCAACTGGCGGATATCATTTATTTAGGATATTATTTCACGACGTCTTCTGACGAAAGCCGGCATTCAATTTCGTCTCGTTGCAGTAGCTATATACTTCTGGCTTTCAGCGGAACATATGTAAATTATTATTCGTTTTGGAAAGATTCTACATTACGTAGAGAAGATACTTTCTTTTGAAAAGTAGAAAACCATTGCTATACTATTATAGATATTAGATATTATTATTAGGTTGTAATTATTCTTCTCAGACTCGTATTATTTCAATTTCAAATTGAACACAGGTTACATTATTTCCAGTAAAGTGAGGAAAAGGAAAAGATTGAAATTCTCATCTCAGCTCTCTCGAGTCTTTAATCGTGTATTAAAAAGTAAACAATAAAATAGCGAATAACCGACAATTGACAAAGTTTTATTACCTTTGCGTACACGATCGTTGAAGCTCACACCCTTTGGAATCGTCCTTTAGTTGTTAAAGAAATTGTTAAAAATAAATGAGAATGTTTGCAACAGAATTTGCTTCTGTCTGTTGAAATAACAATCATCGTGATTTCATCGAAGTTGGAAAAAGAAAGGATGAAAGTGCACCTTGAGGATGAAGGTTCTAGTCAATTTAACATAAGTAACATGATTTATTCATTCGCAGTCATTATAAATTCTTTTAGTTGGACACGATCTAATTTCACAAAGAGCATACAGAAAATGGTAAAGTAACAGCAGTTGCAGTAGGTAATGGATTATTAAATAAGAAGAAGAGAGAGAGAGAGAGAGAGAGAAAGTGAGAGAGAGAGAGAGAGAAAGGTAAGGGAGAAAGAGAGAAAGAAAAAAAAAGAAAAGACAAGTAGAGGGAGAAAAGGATTATTTTGTCACGAGAGGTATTAGAGTACAGAATAGAGTAAAGAATATCGTGCTCCTCTTTCGCAGAAAGAATCTTAAAAGCTTTCTACTAAAAACATATGCACGATCCTTCTTCTTAATCCCTTGCCCGAGTCTCAAGAGTTTCAACAGAGGAATAGTACTATCTTGAAAATAGCTGTTTAATAATGTCCCTTATTGCGAATCCTCCATTTCCAGTTTTACGTAAATCCGTTTGTTTGAAGCGGACATAATGGCGAACGGGTTGTTCTCGTATTAATTTGCTAACGTTTCTGAAACTGGTATTTGCTGTTCTACGTAATTATCAGATGGTACGATTTCATGGTATCAGGTTTAACATTGAACCTCAATTTGAACGTGAAAAGACAAAAGAAATTCGTTCTACGTGAGTTAGTTAAGTTTTCAGGAAGGTCGACCTGGGTCAAGCTATTTTTGTACAACGCTGTTCAACTTTTTTTTTTTTCTAGGGGAGACCCCGTACGAGGATCCGCAGGTGCAATTTACTCGTTCCATTCCGGATGAAGTAATCAGGTGAGCTTAAACAATTAGTAGCGAGTATTAAGAGTACTGCGTGTTGCAAGTAGGTTTATTTGTAATTTGTACAATAAAATTAACTAAGTTAAAAAATGTTGGGAGTAGTGGTGTTAGGACTGTACTGAATTGGTTTTGGATTTTCAGTGTTTATGAAGTCTATGTGAAAGAGGAGAATGCAGGTTCTGAAGGAAGGAACGATGTCACCGTCGTGTCGAGTTTGTCGTCCACAAACGATCATCAATTAATTCAGGTAATTATGAGTGGCAAATTGACAATTAATTTTACGTTGTTAACCATAATTGTTAACAATATCATGCGGATGCACGCACTGTAATTTTCTACGCCGCGGAATACTTTCTATAGAGGTTTAATTTAATTTGTTCCCAGGGTGATTGCATGAACCTAAACGTAGCTATCGATTCTGAAGTAATTAACATTGACGGTGCTGTGACGAAGTTTCTCGGAAAGGATGCTTTCAAATATAAGGTGAAATTATCAAAATTATTTTTGTTTTCTTCTTCTTTTTCTATTTTTGTTAAATTATAAGACAGTTGATACGACTTTTTTCTTTTTATAGATTCTCGATCAAAATGTTAATTCGTCCGAAGATAACGTTATGGTGTATTCACACCCGGTCGTCGAGGAACCATCTTCATCTTCCACTCGACTGATCGACAAGGATGATCCAAGATCGAAACTTCATTTTGTGAAATATCTGAAGCGAGATGGGAAAACGTTGAAAATATGGGAGTGCGGGATTTGTTAGTAACTTATCTACTTATCGAATTTTATATTGATTGTTTTCGCTTGTTCTTCAAATACGTAAAAATTCAGAAACTTGGAAACTTGCAAACTCGAGAATTTAAAAATTCGAGCTCAAAGATTTGAAACTCTCGACATTTGAAGATTAAGTTTCAACACTCGAAGATCTGAGAAAACTAAAATTTCGAGAAATTAACAAATTAAAGAGACTACAGATATTCGAAAAATTAAAAAATTGAAAAATCTTACGAACGTAATCCTTAATTGAAGATTAAAATTTCTGTATTATTGTAATATTCACGATCATCGCCAAGAATCGCGCGTGGTGCGAAATCAATAGTATTTCTTTCGTAAAGACGGGATCGGGATTCGCGAAAGCACGGCAAGAATAGTATCAAAGCTTGATATTCGACCCAGGTTCGAAGGAGTTCCGGCATCAGTATACGTTGATGAGGCACTTGCCAACGCACACCGACGAGAGAAACTTTAAATGCGAGGCTTGCGGCAAAGCTTTCCGACAGTTGTCGACATTGAGCCAGCATAAGGCGATACATAGCGATGCCAGGCCGTACGTTTGCGAATTTTGCAAGAAAACTTTCAACAGGTCAGTGCACCATCAAAATTCACTCTGCCATTTTTATCCAATGGCTCTTCCGATTGCGCCTATTTACCAATCTCACGGTTTTCGTTTGAATTTTCGAATCTCGTTTGAAATGCTTTTAACGAACAGCGTTTCGAATAGAAACGATATAGAGACTACAATTTGCTAGAGGAAAAAAAAAAAAAAAAAAAAAATGATAATACCGGGCCGTTTGTGAAATGCGCGCGGATCATTAGCGTTTTGAATCGTCGCAAAATTGCGACGATTGTGCGCAAAAGTGGAAAGAAAATTTTAACGAGCACCGGGGATACGTTGGTCTTTTTTATAAATTAATCTTGTAGAGTAGCATGTTTTTTAAATGAGCCCACTCGAGTGCGATATAATGATGCGTTTAATTGAGATGGTTTCGATCGCCGGGCTTATAAAACTCTTTGTGAATGGACAATTTGCTCGATTACTGTAATCCTAATCCTAAAACTCTTCTTAAGATCATTTATTTATTTTTTGTCCGATTTATTTGTATCGAGCAATGATCTTGTTTCGAGATTTCATTGAAATTTTTAATCAGTCAGACACTTTTCTGTATAATTAATCTAGAGTATCTACGCTGATCTCCCATCGGAAAACCCACTCGGAGCACAAACCACACAAGTGTCAGGTTTGCGGAAAGGGATTTCATCAGAAAGGTAATTGTTAATTATTAAACTATTGCGAAGTATACAAGTTCTTTTCAGAATTGTGAATGCAATTTTACAATCGGTGACCAATAAGAAATTTTTTAAAAGATTTACAAATGCTTAACGTTAGAAATAAGATTTTATTTTTCTAACATCTTTCTTAAATCTACCAATTCGATACTATTTCATACTATTTTTTGAATTTTAGTGCTTTATCTTTACAATTTTAATATCGCACTCTTTAATATCGCATTGCATTTGAAGAAAATCGTGCATCTGTAGATTAACCTTTTAGTATCTTACAATTTTTCTATATAGTAGAAAATGAACGTGTGAAATTCTCGCCAAAGCAGACACACAGTTCTTTCACGGAAACATTTTATAAAAAAATAAGATGTCTGTAAGAAAAGCCGAAGTATTATATATAAAAATGTTGCATTGAAATACAAAAACAAAAATCGGCATTTTCGATTTTTGGGTACTTAAAAAGGTTAAAACACGGCCAAGTTGATAATCCTGTGGTCGATCGCGATCCGATTTTTGCGATGCGGCAACAATTCTGAAACAGCTTGTACAAAGTAAGTAAGCCGGTGCCCAGGGAACCGGCAATAGTTAAATACCGTACCGTTGTCAGGCAATTTGAGGAACCACGTGTTTACCCATACGAACGAGAGGCCGTACAAATGCGAGCTTTGTGGCAAAGGCTTCAATCAAATGTCGAATTTGGTCTGCCACAAGGTCAAAGCGCATGCACACGCGGAGAAAATGCAGCACGTGTGCGGAATCTGCGGCAAAGAGTTTCCGCGTCGATTCTCTTTGAGATCGCACGAAGAGTACAAGCACGGGATAAAGTATCGACATCCGGCTGGTGTGCAGCCGAGCATCAACGATCCGAACGTCATAAGAAAGTAGGTAGACGTCACCGAACGGAACTGAACGACGCTTAATTTGCCCCTTGATAGACGGGTTCTCCTTCCGCGCTGAATGAACGCAACTTGAATGTTGATCTCTTATTCTGCTAGAAGGCTGATGCTCCTCTCTTTTCCTCTTCTCTCCCTCTCTTTCTCACCTCTTCTTTCTGCCAGCTGCTCTTTTACTCGTTTGAAACCCTTTCTTAACATATATTGATCTGCTGATTTTGAAGATCTTAATGTCGAGAAGATCTTACTCCTCTTAGTATCTTACCTTGGTCTAGAACCACGAAGAATTCTTGTGGGAATAAAATGCGTAAAGATCTCGGCAAAACATACATGTTGCTTCTCAGTAGAAACATTTCCTATTATTATTATAAAAAGTCATTTTGTAAAAATAAGGCGCCATTACGAGAAGTTGGAATATCGGTTCCAAGTATGTTTGTGATATAAACCGCGAAATTGATATATTGGTTTTTTTCTGTGCTAATTAATAAGTTTAAGTATTTATTGATGATAAATATTTAGTTTATATATTACATTTATAAATAAGTATTTATTAATAATAAATATTTATTAAACTAGTCAAGACTTCTTGAACTTGTATTTTTAACGATGAGTACAAAGTATTAGATCAATTAATAAATTGACAAAAATTAGAGGATATTTATCTGACAATGAGTAAAAAAGCAACTTTGTATACAATGAACGATGTTTCTTTTCAGTAAAAACGTTAGGATCGTACAGCTGGCAAATGGCGACCGAAATCAAACTATTGAAGTTAGGGACAAGGATCCATTAATGGTCAGTAGCTCGATTAAGTAACGAACATCAGTTTCCCAGAAAAATTGTTAAATTTATATAATTAATGTTAATATATTTGTATTAATATATTTCGGCAGTCGGATGTGATGGAGCCTGTGGTGATAGACAAGATTGACACAAAGGCGATGGAGATGGCATTGATCGAGGGACAAACACCATTCGCGCTGTTTAAACCAGCCAAAGGAATTCCTGTCCTCGTGAAAGTTTCTTCAACCGGAACTCATAAAAACGTAGCATCAATTTAGATTACTAATTCTCCTTGTTCTAATTTTTTTTTTCTTTTCTAAATTAAAACATGGATACCATCTGCGAATTTAGATCTTGACTCCTGCTACAGCAGAAGATTTACGTATAGCAGGAAAGATGAATCTGAGCCCAACGATTTCTGCTGACGCTGCTGACAGGATCAAAGCAGTCCAGGTAAAAGTGCCGGTGGTAGCCACGGTTATACAGAATATAGATACTGATGGGAAAATAAATTTCATTGTCGAACCACCCGGACCCGAGAACGAACACGGTAAGCAAATAACGATATTTCTTACGATCTGTACATTCTATCAAAATAAAGGGAAGCTCTGCAAAAGTTCTTTAATTATCAGCGATCCGCAATGTAAAATTTATATCAAAGAAATGAAAGGGCCAATTCATGGCATGCTGGGCCAAAAATCACTTATGTTTACAAATTATTGAAATTTCCATTCTCAATCTATAAAGTCACTCTGAAAAGTTATTAATTCGTCAGTTTGATCACTCTCAAGAGAAATAAAAACTTTATTAAAAACAAAAATCTATGTATAAAGTTGTAAGAAATTGTAAATCAATCATCTCGATTGTTTTGGTCCCAATATAAAAGATCGATTGTAAGGAATTTTTGTAATAAATTGAGACGCTAATGGTTTAAACAATGATTCTGATGTTAGCCGAACGATTCTACTTAGCGATATGTTTCTAAAAGGACTTTCTAACGTGTCGCTGTCCGTCTATAATTGGCTCGTTAAAGTAGCGATGTTTTTCAAAGTGTCGCTGCAATATGGCGTTTATTTGGTGCACTGTCGACAGAGAGCTTGGTCACGGCATTGGATTCTCAGTTCACGTACAGCGAGCCGGCTAGAAACGAGCCCGATCGCCAGAATGGTACTGTTGTATCCTCGGCGATGGAGGATTGCAACGAGTTACTGGAACTGGCCGCCCAGGGTGGAATACAGTTCGTGCGCGCCACCGAGGATGGTCGTTACGAAGTAATGAATCATTCATCATCAATAGCAAAGATTTTTCAGATTTGAGATCTTACATATTGACATCTTATTTGAGAAATTATAAAATCGAATTTCCCTGCTAATGAAATGCTATTTATTAGGAATGATGTAACATAAAATTATCGGATTTGAATTCATGCTTGATAAAATTAATATTACAAATATTTTGTAATATATACAATATTTTAATATTATGAGTATTATAATTTATTAATTCTCTATGAGATCCTATGTCTCGAGTTTCATGTTTCATTTACATTCGGATATGAAAACCAGAGTGACAATCTCTTCATTGATTATGCCTCTGTGTACATTGATCATGTTCTTGACTATGTGTTTCTATTTAGGTAATGACGAACAGCGAAGCTCGCGATCTAATGGCACAGAATTCACATGACGTGACCATTCTTGAGAGTGAGGATGCGGACGCGATCAATGTTGTGAATATGCGCGGTAACGGGGAAGTTATTATCGGGGATTCCGATAATCAGATCATGGTGCTCGATTCCGGTTCCACGCAGAAATCCATGCCGATAGACGGCATTGAGATCCTAGAGGACAAGGACATCCGGATTCTCGACAGCAAAAACCTTGATGATCGTTTCGTCGATGGTATTAGCTTCCTTTCGCACTCGAAAATCGACGATCTAATTTTAGGCCCTAAATCTCTGTCCATCGACGGCGGAGTCACTGTTAACGAGCACGAAGATGAAGGTGAGTTTCATTTCATTATTGTTCATTTGTCCTCTCATCATTGGATCAATCCTCTGTCATTACAAAATTGTTTGAATTTATTAAATTGTTGCGCATTGAATAACAAATTTTTGGCGAATATATAAATTTAGGTTATTATTGTTCTGAAATTTTCATCGTGAAACAAGTTATAGCTTGAAATAACAATCTAACGTTATTGGGAAATATTTTATCGATGTCAATTGCAGCCATAGCAGTGCCTTCGAGTCAACAAGAATTAACAAACATTCTTAGTCATAGAAGCGACATTTCGACTCTGTCGACTACCTCCCAGCCTTCGATATCGTCTTTGTTAATGAAAAATCATTCATCATTGTCGATTTTGAACGATACACTTCCATATCTGAAAAGCAATACCAGCTTAGTCGAAGACCTTAATATACTGGGTAGCTCGACACTGGACGATCATCATTCCGTGTATGACGCGAAGATAAAATTGTCCTCTGTTTTCGACGACACTGAGCCTGATACTGGTCTAATACCTATTAGTCAATCGGATATGAAAATTCTTGGATCGGGAAGTTCCAACAAGGTAAAATGATTAAATCTTGATTGTTAAAATTTTTTTTAAATCTTAAACTTTTAGCGTAAGAGATATTAAATTATACTACTATATATTTATATAGTATCTTTTGGATTAGAATGTGTTATAAATTGAACGAAAGCTGTGAAAGATTACAATAATTTTTAAGTAATTTCTAAAATTGCGAAATAATTATTTTGCTTTTGTATTCGAATTCTGCGATTCGAATTCAAGGTTCTCGGCAGTAAATCAAATTGTCTGTCGTCATCGAAGTTGTTCCCGGGTCTGAATGAAGTAAAGATTCTGGGTCCGAAAAATCATAACCAAGAAATCATAACGTCGCAATATCAGGACGTAAAGCTGCTTAGTCCGTACGAGCAGTTTCTTAAGAACACCGCTTCGAACACGAATGGCTGCGACAGCGGCGAACTTAACACGTCTGGTGGATGTAGGAAGGAGGTAAAGATTCTGGGTAAGAAGTTGGGAACTGGCATTATTACCAGCACAGAGGAAGGTAACGTCGTGGAAGTCATCGAGGAGAAAACTAAGCTGGTAAGTGATTTCATAATTATCTTCAATTTGTTCGCTCACTAATCGTATCACTCTTTCGTACATCTTTAACGCTCCGTTCGTTTGATATTCAAATTCATTTGACATTAAACTGACGTCATGGAAAGGTGTAAATATAGCGAAAAAATAAATGGTTATACTTTTATTGAATAACGACTATAGAATTTTAACGACTAGAGAATTCTTTTAGCGAATTTCATTATCAAAAGTGAAAAGTTTAATAAATGTAACGTATGTTTCTCATAATGTATTAAATTGATATAAAAAAAAAATGCGGGACTTTACTGATTCATCCTTAAAGCGATGAATCAACAGCTTTGATTTTGTTCTCATCTTTTTAATATCAACCTTGTTCATTTCTCCGACACCAATCTACTTGCACGAAATTATCGACCAACAAATACCAATCTACTCGTATAAGATTGCACGAAATTGTATACGTAACGTTACAAATCATCAAGATAAACAAGGATGCAACTTCACCAATTACACATACTTACAAGAATTTAACATTTTCGAAAACACTCTTCAATCTTTATCTACTCAACATTTACAAAATTAATAAGGAAACTCAACATCAAGAACCATCAACATCAGTATCAACTGAACTCATAAAATTCAATTCTCATCACACATCTGGAAACACATTCTCGATTTTCTTTCATTCGATAAAATTATCAAAAATATTAATTAATTTTCAATCAACAAAGTAAAATGTTAATTGTTTGAAGATGATGGACGGCGGAGGAGGACTATGTAACAGCTCGGACAACACGGTGATCTCGTCGCTCCGATTGGACAGGCAGATCACGGAAAACGGCGGACCAGACAGTTTCTTGCTCCAAGTAAAGGAATACGATTACGTTTACAACTCGTAGAATCACACTGAAACGGAAAATTATTCCCCCTGATCTGTGTAGGCTTGTAGCCCATGCGACACGGACTTTTTGAATTTCGAGAATCGTTTGAAGGACACGTCGCCGGCCGGCCACTTCGAGCGAACCCAGAAGGATCCCAGGGATAGTTTCAGCTCCACCGGTAGCCTTCCCGATCTCGATTGATCGAGAATCCGATTCGAGCCTCCGTTTCACTCTCCCTGCTTTCTCATTGAAAGTTTCAGACGCTCTACGAGCGGAAATGTCGCATGAGATTTCTCAATGGCTGTGAAGGATGGATGCGATTCTAATTATGCGTGAAATTAAAATTTCGTCAGTTCTTCGTCGGTCCTTTCTCAGTTTTTAGTCGATATTTCATCGATCCTTTGTCGTCGATTTTGAAAGACTCGTACGAATATGGAAGTAATAGGATCCATTTCTTCTTTTCTTTTTTTTTTTTTTGCTCTCAATTTTTTTAATTCTTTTCATTATAGGATTTCCATATTTTAAGATCGTAAGATCTTGCAGAGTTTTCAATTCTTGTGATTTCGCTCTGACCGTCTTGCAGTTAGTTCGCCCCGATTTTTCTTTGCCGATTCGTTTCAGGGTGTTTTTAGTTAACTAGCGAAACGAGGAAATTTTAGCAGAAGTGAAAATTGCGAGGAAGACACCGGAATGCTTTTAATCGATCGCATCCTAAAAAAAATGTGGCGACCTTCGAACGTTCGCGAGGTATTTATAAATTTAGAAGGAACGTTAACGTTAGACGATTGATTGCTATTTTTAAATTTTAGAATATTTCTACGCGGTGAATGACAATTTTGTTGAGATTTCGAACTTGGTTTGCTGGAATGGGAAGGTGAAAAGATGAAAAAAAGCAGGAGAATGAGAGAGAGAGAGAGAGAGAGAGAGAGAGAGAGAGAGAAAGAGAAGGAGAAAATGTTAAAGAAACAAATATTAGCAAAGGATTTTTAGGAGAATCTTGTAGTACATGCGTAGAGGAATTTAAATGAGGTAATTTTATGGGGAATGCTAATGATTTTATTCATGAATGAAAAAGTTGTATTTTTGCGCGGCGTCCAGGCCGACAGTTTGTAAATTTTAATTCGCGTGCACGTGCTCGCGTCCCATGTTCAAATACTCATTGTTCATTTTCCGGGTTTCTATTTTAACGTGGCTGATTACATTGTATAAATTCGAATAGTATTTTATATTTGAATTTGTGGTTGGAGAATAAAATTATACGCAGAAAATTGTCTGCTGTAAAATTTATTCGTGTTTCTGCGTCTATGACAAATTAATATTTAGTTGTCAGATTTTATAAATTCAGGAGAAGTAAACTCAACTTCTAATGTTCCTTTAATCTTAAAACAGCAAATAATATTAAATGTTGGTACATTTTTATTCATTCTTTTTACATACGTATAAAAATTTGATATTAATATTAACATTAATATTGAGACAATTTTGAAGATTTGTACCATTTCTTATAGAAGAAATGACCAACAGACTGGAAAAACTAATCTAGCAAAAATCTCAGAACAAGTGAAACGATTCGAAAACTACCTAGCAAAACCAGTGAAATATCCAAACCACCCTGTGTCTCACTTTGAAGAAAACTTTCTCCAAAGGGATTCCTCCCATACACACACATACAAAGACACATGCACACATGTATCTTCCTTTTCTCAAGATTTTACTCTGGTGTGGTCGTTGATCCGACACAACACGTGTCACTGTCGCTTTCCGCTTTCTGCGCGCACTGCTTCGTGATATATGTATTACAGTTTTTTTCTCCCCCCTGACACCTTCTTTTCCGGTAGAACCCGAGGGACCGCTGGATTCGATAAAATTTACTCAACAGAAGGTGACGTTCGCCACGCGAACTTCTAGCCACCTTCATTTCCGGCTGTGTCCTCGTTCTCCGTCGCACCAGGGTCGTCTACGAGGTGGACTGAAATCAAGTTGGGTTAGGTTCGGGATCCAGACAAAGGGAAGCGTCACGGGAAAATTTCTGGCGGTCCGAACAGCTTTCCCTATTGCTGCCTCTCTCTCTTTCCCTCTTTGTCCTTTATATCGTTCTACCAACGTTGGTGCTGATAATGTTGAAACGTACGGGGATTTCGTTTCCCTGCTCAGAATGGATTTAATGGGATCCGGAAACGAAATTAGTTGTGTTGTTCGTGACGTAATTGGAGTGAAATTTCTATTCAATATATTCTCATGATAATTTTCTTTTTCCTCTGTATTCGGTGTTGTTTGAATTCACCTATATTTTTGTCTCTTCCATTCATTTCTCTTTAATAAAATGCATAGGATGTTGTTATAATTTACTTAATAATAATGGTACTTACATTCATGTATTTACAATGGTATAATGTAAAAATCATATATAAATCTAATCGTAAAGTATCGCTATGAAATTAACATAACAGTATTATCTGCATCGGGGTCAGGAGAATGAAAATATTTTATAATAGTAGAAACATCCATCAAACATTCCTCGTCTTCTTATCTCTGTTAAATATACTTTTCGTATATTTTAAGAAGGATAAAAAAGATTCTGGTCTTCTCTTAAAAATTAATGAATTAATGAATTAGTTCATTAACGAAAATAATTAAAATTTCCTGATTCTAAATTACATCTAGTACTAAATATAATTTATTATTGATGTGGAAATTGGCCATTTAGAAATTAAACGAACAAGATCTATCTTTCAAGTAATTCATATTACCAGAATATAGTGTCTTTTGTTTAATTTTTCGAAAATTAAATCGAATACATTGATTAGTTTAACTTCCGATTGAAATCTAATTACTGTATATATTTATTATACTATTATAAGTATATATTGACAGTAATTCGAAATAATACAATTTTAATTTCAATTTCGCTCTTCATTTCCGTAAAACATGTTTATTTGCACCAAGTTTGTACAAATTACATAATTACAGGAATGAGATCTAAATGAAATTTCGTGCAGTCTCATAATGATTACTTTACCTCGAATATCTCATTCATTTTTCCGCATTATTTGCATTCTGCGCATTTTTAAACACTTCAATTTCTTATAAATATACGAACGCCCATAATTTTCTACATCAATCTCTGTTTTATGTTTATTAAAGATATTTTTACGGTTTCGAATTGTACAAGAAGAAATTCGTAGAACATCTCTATTTCCATTAGAGATACCTCGTAGAATTACGAGCAAAGAATGTTCTAGAGAATGCCTCTATTCTAGTGTCAAACTATGTAAAAAGAAATTCGTAGAATATTTCTATTTACTTTCATTAGAGATACCTCCAGAGTGGAGGGCAACGCAAAAGGGACAAAAACAAAAAAGGGCAAAACTACGCAAAAAGGACTCGTAGAATATTTCTCCCATTCAGAAACTACGAAAGAAAAAATTTCGTAGAATGCCTCGTGAAACATTTCTATATCAGCGAGAGCCACGTTGAGAAAGAGAGAGGGAGAGGGAGGAAAAAAAGAATTTATATCACCACAGTGTTACCATAGATAAACTTCAATTTCTCAGCGAACTTCCACCTTGCACGTGCACGTCTTTGACAAATCGAGAGGGAATCGACCGTGAGTCGATTCGAAAAACTTTTATCCACCAAAATTGTGTGAACGAATCGACGTAACGCCATTGACTTCTTCGTTTCCCCTCGCTTTCCGCCTTTACAAGGTGTTCTTGCCTTGCGCGTTCGTTCGTTCGTTCGTTCGTTCGTTCACCCGCGTGTTCACCAAGAGACGTTACTCGTGGAGCGTTCACGGAAGGAGATCGAATTTGCGAAATGGCTGTGTACGAGGGTTGAATTTCTGACGAGGTAATTCGCGGGGGAAGCATAGCAGACCGACGTCCCCGCGTAGAACGGAAAAAGTTGCAAGGGTGAGAAATTCAAAGTGAATTCCACTGAAATAGGCGTCCCCGACGATTCACTTCGTTACGAGTGACAAGTTATCAAGTCTTTCTTGCGAGAGCATCGTTCAATGGACAGAATGATTTTCGCTATTCTTCCTTGTCGACGCGTTTTGACTATACGCAGGCACAGACGAGGTATAAGAAAAGACCTCGCATACAATGTATTTTTTTGTTCCACGATTTCAGGGTCCTAGGATCCCCTTACCATTTCGTGTTATTCTGTCGTACCGATTTAGGCAGGTCTTCCGCCGCAGCATTATTAGAGAATTAAAATAAAATATGGACATTGTGAGATATGCTTCGAGAGTTATTTATTGAATTGAACGTGGCGATACTTCACCAATGAAGGAATATAACAATTTACACAATTGTCTTTGCGAAAAACCTGTCTTTGGCGAGACATTTCAATTTTTACAATATTCGAAAATTATTCACTTTTACATTTGCTGCATAATGTAAAATAAAGATCTTTGAAACAAATGATTATTAAAGTAGAGAATTTGCGCTTTAAAATAAAATCAAGTTAATTATTCTGCAATTTTGTTTTCAGAAATTATAACAGTTTAAAGTATTGACAACTTTTCATCAAGTGTGTAAATATTTTCGTTCTTTTTTAAGAATGTCTCATGAATTTTGTGTATTTGATTTAAATCAGAGTTTTTACTTTTTATTGCAAGTCATTTCGTACGAGGCGCGCAATTACAGCGCCACAACGGTGAAATATGGAATATACTTCCTACGATTATCGAATCATGATCGATATTTCTCACAATCGATTTTTAAACGGGAAACATGGCGGAAAAGAGGACGCCTCATCTGTAAAGACGTCACATCTGTAAAGACGTCTTATCTGTAAAGAAGAAAGTTTTATCCAGAAGAATCATCCAGAAAGAAGTATCATTGAAAACTTCTCATGTAAAAATATAAATCAATAATTGTTGGATTTGTGTTTGTATTGTGAATTTTTAAAACGAAATGTGTATTTTTGACTTCAATTCAAGGTAAGATTTAACCAAATAATTATACATATAATTTTCAACAATTAAGAAATAATAGCATATAAACGTTTAAACAGAACATACCATGTTAAAAGTTATTTATAATTTTATATTAAAATTTAATATCAATTCTATTTTGTACAAATATTGTGACCTTGTAATATGACTACCTTTTTTATTATGTATGTAATATGTATTTTGTTTCTATTGTAACATTTTCTATTAATTTATCGATTCTTAAACCTTATACTGCATAATTCTTAACAATTTCAATACTAAATCCAATAATAATTTATTGAGGATGTACGTATTTAATGGCTAAAATAATAATTCTACTATGTAATATAACAAAGTTTCTTATGTCCCAGTAAAGTGTTGACAATTTTTCATCAAGTATATGAATTTTTTCGTTCTTTTTAAAGAATATCTCATGAATTTTGTGTATTTGATTTAAAACAGAGTTTTTATTCCATTTTTTATTCCAAGTCATCATGTGAAACACGCGATTACAGCGCCACAACGGTGAAACATGGAATATACTTCCTACTATTCTCAAATCTTGATCGATATTTCTCACGATTGATTTTTAAACAGGAAACATGGCGGAAAGGAGGACGCCTCATCTATGAAGAAGAAAGTTTTATTCAGAAGAATTATCCAGAAAGAAGTATTACTCAAAAGTTCTTATGTAAAATATAAATCAATAATTTTTGGATTTGTGTTTGTATTGTGAATTTTTAAAATAAAACATGCATTTTTGGCTTCAACTCGAGGTAAGATTTAACCAAATAATTATTACATATAATTTTCAACAATTAAGAAATAATAGCATATAAACGTTTAAACAGAACATACCATGTTAAAAGTTATTTATAAATTTATACCAAAATTTAATATCAATTCTATTTTGTACAAATATTGTGACCTAACCCAAACCTTGTAATATGACTACTATTTTTTATGATGTATATAATATGCTTTTGTTTCTATTGTAACATTTTCTATTAATTTGTCGATTTTTAAACCTTACACTGCATAATTCTTAACAATTCCAATATTAAATTTAACAATAATTTATTGAGGATGTACGTATTTAATGGCTAAAATAATAATTCTACTATGTAATATAACAAAATTTCTTATGTCCCAGTAAAGTGTTGACAATTTTTCATCAAGTATATGAATTTTTTCGTTCTTTTTTAAGAATATCTCATGAATTTTGTGTATTTAATTTAAAACAGAGTATTTTATTTTTTATTCCAAGTTATCAAGTGAAACGCGCGATTACAGCGCCACAACGGTGAAGTATGGAATATACTTCCTACGATT